TACCGCGACCACTACAAAGAAGAACACGTAGGCTATATCTTGGAACATATTCCTCATTGCTATTATGGGTAATACACGCGATTTTTATCGGACTTGCAAAGGGAGGATCATTGACTTTCGCATCAAGGGTGGTGTAATTTCCGTTTTTAAACTGTTCAAGTGCTGCTGTGGTGAGAGTAAATGGTGACTGAAGTAACACCACCATTGAAAATAAATGACTTTATAGCTTAGGTATTATGTGCCATTGATGTTAAATACGAATGTTGGCTGTGAAGGGGTGTGAAAACAAAAAATGACAAGTTACAGGTGAACTTTTCAAAGGAAAAAGGTGACTTATAGACGTGTGTCTAAAGATGACAATACAACTAACTTTGTTACACTTACAATGGTTACTGTAGCAGATGGATGGTCACTGCACTCCTGCTGGTAAAGTTGTATGAGAAAAACCGACCTCAATTTGCACGGTAATAATAAATTTTGACTGCCACTGATTGGCAAAGAGTTGCTTTGCTCGACGAGTCACGTTTTCGGTCTGTCTGATAGATGGGCATTCATGTATCAGACGAGAAATATTTAAAAACAAACATCTTGCATCCGTATATGGTTACAATATGGTAGTGGTAGTGTTATGGTGTATATGTTTCCATTTCATTGCTCTTTCCAGTAGAAGCCACATTTAATGGTTGTTGTTCTGTTGTCGATCATATGCACCATTACATGTTGACTGTATTTCATCAGAAAGATGAGTTGTTTCAGAAGAACAATGGCGCATGTCATGCATCCAAAATTGTCCGAAATAAATTGGACATCTACAAAGATTTCCAAATGTTCCGCTAGCCTCAGCCTTCATATCAGATTTGAACCCAATACAGGATCATCTTGATCGCCATGTTCTCAGTTTTGACATTGCCACTGCTGTCGGATGTGCTGCAGTCTGCACAGTTTCAGATACCTGTAGCAATCTTCTGTAGTTTTATTTCCTGTCATGACTTCTATCCTTGCTACCAGAGGCTGTTATTCTAGACATGAACAAGTGGACATAATAATGTTATTCGATCCTGTCTATACGTATGAAGAGTTACTTACGAACTTTTGAAAGAACTCTGTAAGACATTTACTATTAAAATATCTCCGTTACTAGACACACTCTCTCCAGCAAAATAAAACTGTAAAATATGTATTACTAAGATTATTGTAAATACTGAAGTAAGATACTCTAAAAAAGCAGTTATAAATTAAGGAGCCTCTCTTGGAAAACAAGTCATTATAAGTACGTAGTCTCTCTACATTTTTAAATTTAAAGCCTCTTTTTAACGACCTTGAATGAATATTTCGAAAACAAGTTTCAGCTGTTTTACCTTTCTGGTGCTCATGTCATGGTAAGATAGGAAATATTAACGGCTTAATGAAGTCATTCTAACTTAGTGTATGCACTTAGGAATAAACGTGACGAGAAAAACAAATCATTTGTACTTTAGATGTAATATTTTTTATTATGTTAATGTTATTTCTAGAAGCTTCTAAAATTCTTTTAGTTTGTTGCCATCTATTTATATTCTAAAAAATAACATTTATGTTGGGTTTTTTTTTTTTTCGTTCTGTTTTCTATGTTTTTTCTGTTGTATATTAAAAACTTCTTTTCTTTTTTTTTTTTTTTTGTCAATCTAAGATAGACTTTCTCTCAGTAATAATATATAAATCCTCACAAAAAATAATTGTCGTTTTAATGTATTTTGTTGCTGAACAAAATCATTTTTAGTTACGTAAATTCAAGTGTAAATAGAGTTTAAAAAATACCTTAGCTGACTAAAAAAATGTAAATGAGACAAATAAATAAAGCATTTCCTTTAATGAAGAATACGAAAATTCACTGGGAAAAGTTCAATTACGCTATAATAATCAAAATAGAAGCTTTAATTTTGAAACGTGTTGAAATTATACAAGTTACAGATACTATTCTTTCATATAAATACAATTGTTTTATTTGGTCCAAGGCCATATAAATAATCTTTATTTATCTCAGGTATCGAATTTAATTGTAACCCATTGTTTATTTTCCCGCTCTTTCATAACGCCCAGAAAAACAACTCGGTTCGACGGACTTCGAATTATGTTGTTTCACATTTTCGGCTCTTTGCCAGGTGCCACAGTTTTCAGTAATGCTTTTTTTTCATCTTACTTTTGATCTTTCTACCTTAGTAAAAATGAACGACATCTGTTCTCTGGCTTTATTTTAAGGTTGTTCATATTCGACTTTCGATTGTTTAGCAGAACAAATATTCAAGTTGCCAATATCAAAATAGAAACTTCAAGATTGGCGATATAATTTTTATCAGAGAAGAATTTTAGAGTAAAAACTAATAACACAATGACAGTGGAGATTAATTTTTTTTACTTTAAGAAATTTGTTCAAATTTTATATTATTGATCAACTTACTATTATGGCATTTATATTGGAATTCAGACTGTATACTTTTCATTGACCCTCGTTAATGTGTCACTTAAAAACCTAATTGATGTACAAATAAAAAAAAGTGAATTATTATAAGTAAAAAGCTAACAATTGATTTGGGAGCTGTAACAATCCGACATAAAATCAAGTGATCATGGTTAGTGACGTTCGAATCACCTGACGCTTTTTTAAGGAACTTTTCCAAAATTAGTGCTTCAAAAATACGAGGGTTGATCAGAAAAAAAGATTACAAGCCACAGCATTTGAAAACTACATATTGCGGAGAAATTTTGTTTCCCCAGAGTGAAGACAAATTCGCTACTTGTCATACGTTGTCATACGGTTTGCGGGTAGGTAGTGAAAGTTCCCTGACGGTTCAGAACGGTTGAAATGGCAAGACTCTTAGGAAATTGGTCTTGTTTGGAAGTGCGAGCCGTGATTCGATTTTTATCGGCAAAGAATGTGTTCGCATCTGACATTCACAGTCAAATCGTGGAAGTTTATAATGAAGAAGCTATGGGCAGACAACATGTAACGAAATGGTATCACTCTTTTCAATCAGGCCGATAGGATGTCGAAAACCGCGATGTGGCAGAAAGGGGCCGGCCGGGTTCTTCAACGACAGATATCAACACGTCACGAATTGAAGAAATGATTCAAAATGAAATCTCATCAGACTGGGACTGAGCTATAGTAGTATGCAGTATATCGTTTTTGATGTGCTGCACTATTCCAAGAATTGTACTGTGTAAACATCCCTCGAGACCTGGCTCAATGGACAGGAACCTGATTTCTACCAAGACAGGTTAAACAAGTTAAGTTGGTTCTACGTTCTGATAAATGCCTAAATAGGCTTGGTGATTATGTCGAAATGTGATAGGCATGTATGCCTCTTAATTTCCTTTTGTATTTTCTGTCTGTTGTTAATAAATATTTTTTTATTCGACTTGTAACTTTTTTTTATATCATCCCTCTTACTTTATTTGGATTAATATCTATCTATAGCTGTCGAGGGATATGCCAATTGATACGATTATTTTGAATCACCATCAAATGATGAGGCTGATATTTGATCTCTAGCATTCTTCTCTTCTAAATTACAAAAATTACGCTAAAGGGAAACTTTCAAAGTGAGTGCACAAAAATTTCCATCATTCCTCATGGTAGTCTTGGCGGAACTACGATAACAATTTGCGAGTTGCTCTGAATTCGATTCTGATGCAATTATATCGATATTTTGGCTCTGCCATGTCAAGATGATCGATTTTACCATTAGACAATAATTTTTCCTACTTAAGAAAGGGAACGAGTAAAAAAAAAGTGGCAAAATTATGGAGATAGGTTTTGAATCCACGATCATCATTGCCAGTAGAGCGCACAGGAATTTTTCTAGGGGGTGGGGGGGCCGGGGGGCGAAAAATTCACCATTCTTTTAGCCCCCCTTTTGATTTTGTCGATTTTCGGGAACAAACACGGGAAAAAATAATAATAGAATAAATAATTTGGGATTAATTAATAAAATCAATCGTTAATAACAAATATTTACTTAAATTTTACATACTATATACTTAGAATTATAATCAATCAAAAAAATCTAGGGCTTTGGGGGCCTTGTGTGCGCCACTGATCATTGCCCATCACGGCAATTACGACCAATAATTATAGAATCAGTACTAAGTAATATTACTTTAAAAAAAAGATAATTTTTAAAAAATATATATTTATGTTTTTCACTGCTGCAGTAGTAGCTTCATTAAATTATATACATATATATATATAAATACGATATGACTTTCATTCAATAAGTTGTCGCCTATCCGGTATAGTCGCTGGTGACGCTGACTGCTGTGCCGTAGGACCTGGGCTCGAATCCCGTGGAAGGCATGGATGTTTGTAAATGTATAGTGCCTTTGCAGCATCGGGGTACTCTAAATAGCCGTCGAGCCTCAAATCCTCTCGTGAGACTGAGGGGAGGAAGAAAGGTAGGAGGCCTCTGACCACCCCCAGGGCGTTCTCCCTCAAAATTGGGGTGGAACCGAGCAAAATCGCCCCGTCACCTGTATGGTGCTCAAAGCTACGGATAATGACAGGTGTACAACTAGTCCCTTACCACGATGAATTTCGTGGCTCTGGGTTCAACTCAGTCGAGATCAGGTGGCATAAGAAACAACAACATTCAACAATAAGTTTCTTAGGCCTAAGCAAATAAAAAAGTGTGTGTGTACTTATGTACGCACGTAAGAAGTTATACTTCTTTGGCATAACAAGATTAAAATCTTTCTAAAAATCTTTAGCAGGGCAAGCTGGGCCAAAGACGAAAGGCGATCACGAGCAGAGTTGAACGTTGCTAACCTTCAGTCAATCGGAACAGCCAAACCTGAGATAATCACGATTTAAATAAATTTAAACACCCCCGCACAGGGACAAAAGGACCATAATATGGGGGAAGGTCGAAGGCGGGAATGATCTGTGTCCCGTTCTGCATATTTCAAATCAAAGCATTTTCGTATCTGTTCCTACGGAAGGCAAAGCAAAGGTTAGCTGAAGCGAGGATATAGCTCAGTGGTAGAGCATTCGACTGCAGATTGAGTGGTCCCCTGTTCAACCCCGGGAGTCATCTTCTTCAGGGAAGAGAAATTTTTTTTTGAATTTTGTAGGCGGGAATGATCTGTCCCATTCTGTATATTTCTAGACAAAGCATTTTCGTATCCGCTCCTACGGAACGGAAAGCAAAGGCTCTCTGACACGGGGTATATAGCTCAGTGGTAGAGCATCCGACTGCAAATCGGGAGGTCCCCGATTCAAACCCGGGTGCACCCTTCAACAGGGAAGTGAAGAGAAATATTTTTCTGAGAATTTCGAAGGCGGGAATGATTTGTGTTCCGTTCTGTATATTTCTAGACAAAGGATTTACGCATCCGTGAGTGGCCGCGGTAGCCGAGTGGTATAGGTATCGGATCGTGGCTTGCCTTGTCACGAGTTCGAGCCCAGTACCACTAAAAGACCCACCGTGTAGGGCAGCGATGCACGTTAAATCTGTCGAGAGCTGAAACGTCCTCCCGTTGGTGTGGTGTGGTAGTTAGGAGAGGGGGTGCCAGCTCAGGTGTCGTCCACGTCACTTGACCATGGTTCGTCGCCAAAAGCCCTCGTATAGCTGAACAGTGCGACGTTAATATTCAATCAGTCAATCAAATAAGCATTCGTGACGGTGTACGTCACATCCGTGATGGTTTTGCGTTACATCCGTGACGGTGTGCGCGCGCATTGTAAAAATTTACCATCATCCTATTTCTCTAACGCCCCAAAAGAAGTATAACTTCAAAAATACATCCATTTTTTTACTGATGAAATAGATTTAAATAGTTTTATTTCTCAAAATTTATTTTAAATAAAACTATTTTTTTGTTCATATAATGTGCTTTTTATTCTTTCAATGCCGAACTTCACTGCACGATTCATCTTCATTCATCATCTTTGACTGCTGTAGCATTGGCTGAAAATTTCTTCTTTGGAGAAAGGTTTCTCTCGGAAATTCAAAAGTTTTATTTCTGCCCCCAAAGACGTCAGTTATAAAACTTAAGAAAATTTCATAATCTCTATAAAAGTTTGGCAAACCGGTGAAGCTTATTTTGAAATGTGGTTACCGTTTTTCTCTTAAGGTATCCGACTACGTTCGAAACCGTGATTTTAAAAAAGCACATAAATGTATAATTTTCATGATATTTAGTGTCACTTAGATTAGAATACATGTATAAAATTGTTTTAAGGACATTATGACAAAAATTATTTAAATACAATTTTTGGCAAAATTAACTTAGAATAACCTTTTTTCCAAATGTTCTCCTTTTGTAAAAATGCTTCTATTGTATTAATATTTTGCCTGTATATAGCTCAGACCTCTGTACAGAGGCTCAACTAGGATTTTTGAAAAATTCACATTATTTTCAGAGTTACCACCATTTGAAATAATTATCGGCGTATTTTCTTAAAATTTCTCCCTTCTGTTTCGTAAAACATGGATAAACCGACTTCCAAGTTATGCTTTCAAAAATCTAGTGAGCCTCTGTACAGGTCAGCTGAATACAGGCAAAATATTAATACAATAAGCATTTTACAAATGGAGAACATTTCGAAAAAGGTTATTCTAATTGATATTGCCAAAATATTAGTATTTAAATAAAAAATTTGTCTTAATGTCCTTAAAACAATTTTATCATGTATTCTAACCTAAGTGACACTAAATATCATAAATATTATCCATTTACACGCTTTTGCAAAATCATGGTTCCGAACGTAGTCGGATACCTTAAGGGTCAAGTATTCGAGCTGAATTTTTGTATTACTTTCAAAACTAATCCTTACTGTGAATTTTAATCTTTGAAACTTGTAGCTGTAAAAATTTCTGAGTAGTTAGACAGTGGCGTAATGGAGAATATTAGCACCCCCTTTCCCCTGCTAAGTCAGGTTTAGGCCCCAAGCCATATCTTACGAACGATTGCAAAACCATAACATAAAGTAGGCCTTGGGCCCCCTGGAATCCTGGGACCCTTCGCGATGTGAGGGTGTACGCTACGCCACTCTAGTCAGATAAAAATAGAGGCAAATATATTAAAAGTTATTTATTAAATAAAGTGTCCCTTCTTAACTAGGTGAAATTTGTTACAAAACGATTAGATCTATCAACAAATAAGAGACCCTCAGTAACTGAATAGTCATGATCGCGAACATTGTTTCCGTCGAGTCATAAGTTCGAATCTTGACGCCATTAAGACCTGCCATGCAGAGGGAATGATGCATGTTAAATCTGTCTTCAGTCTTTTATAAATGGCAGTAGAAGTCCATTTTAAAACTCATTAGTGCAACAGCCTATGAGAGGCAAGGCCTACTGTGCCCATCTTAGCTTTCATTGCCTTGGGCACTGAGGTGCATGAGCAGATGTTCCGGTCAGATGGTCAATCTGACACGAAACCCTCAGTGTTTAGTTGCAAATCAAGCTTGGTTCTCCTTTATCGACCTACTGAAGAATGAAAGGTCTAATTCGACTTTGCCCATAACTGGATTAGTTCGTTTAAAGTTTGGAACATTAATGAGCTTTAAAAGCATTCAATGATTATTTACTATACATAAAATAATTCTGATAGAATAGCAATGCTCGAAATTGAAGTAAAACGTAGTTGTATCATAATTTTGTTTTGTGACTAGAAATCAATGAACAACTCTGTATCGCTAAATATTTAATTTATGTTGCACCATATTTCTAGAGAATTTTCATAAGAATGCGTGTTTGTATGTTTACTTGCATATGATGTTTTTGTACATGCTATTAGCACCAACGGAGTTTCATCTAACAAAGAGTTTTCGAATAGTCTCTGTTTTTGGAAATAATTCTAGAAGCTTAAATATTTACAAATACAGTCGGACCTCCATTTATGAATCTCTATTATACGAATTTCTCCCTTTTGCGAACTTTTTCCTGGAACCAAGGATAGAAAAATAATGAAGATGAATCTCTATTTAACGAACTTTCCACATAACGAACTTTTGGGGGATTAAGAGGTCAGAAAATAGAGGTCAGACTGTATTGATATTGTTATTACTAAATATTTATATTATTAGTAGCAATAAAGATATTTATATATAATTCGCACTATTTTTTATTACTAGAAAAGTTAAGTTTTTAAACAGTCCAGTTAAGTAAGATTTCAAAGTGGATTCTCTTTGTTCTCGTTTCTGGTCATTTTTAGGTCCTGGTAACCGAATAGTTATGATATCGAACTCATCGCCGACGTTGCTGTGTCGCGGGTTCGAATCCTGATGCCATTGAGGACCCCCTCCCAGTGAGAGGAATTAACGCATGACAAATCTGTAGGTCCCAAAGCTTTCACGTTGGTGAGGTGTGGTAGTTTGAAGAGTTGGGTGACAACATTCAGATGTCATCCTCGTCACTGACCGTGGTTCAAAATTACGAGGTCCGTCTCCAATAGCCCTTATGTTTCTTCAGAGTGAGACTTTAGGCAGTTGTCGCCATTTGTACGAGAGCGTATACTTGACACAGTGCACATTTTGGAATAAAAAAAATTAAAAATTTTATAAAAAATTGTGACAATGTAACTCATGTATTTTTTCATGATATAGTGTTTTCAAAATATTTCACAAATAATTAGTTGTTGTTTTTTAACCTGTAAAGGGATGGCTCATTTAGCATTACGGTATAGGGAGGGGGGAATGCGAAACACATTGAGAAAAAAATGTGTCAACTTGGATAAAAATGAGTAGTATGTTAAAATAAGTGATTCTCTACAGTATAGTGAAGCCAGAATATAATATCAATGTTTGAGTACTTTATATCTGAAAAAATATTCCGAATTTGGTCCATATTCTTTAACATTAGCCGAAGACAACCTTAAGCTAAAATAAAATATTTATAAATACATACACTTTATATATGTACTTTCATTTATCTGCCCATTATCATTTTGCGGTTTTCTGACCTAACTGAAACTTCTTAACTGAACTAGTCTACACTAGATAGTATTCAATTGTGCGCGGGAGACCTACCTGGAAGTTTGCCAAGATCTGTTTGCTCGTCCGAAGAGTTCTTGAATGCTTTGGCACGACATTTGAATGTCGATCCGTCTCAGTTGCACGAATTTCTCGATTCGGAATACGTACAGTAGAATTTCTGTAAGGTGGCCATCCAAAGAACCGGAACAAGCAATCAATAAACAGAAATGGTCAACAAATGGACATGAGCCGATTCATATGAGCGCGTACTTTTTTTTTATTGTATTTTTAAGAGTGTATAAAAAATATATGAAAATGAAGTTATACATATATACGTATATCTGCGATACCATTAAGAATCTAGATTTGAATATTTTTTCGATTGCCGTGTAATCCAGAGTATTGACGAGCACTTTCAACAACAAAAATAAGTTCCAAACTCCGAGAGAGCGCTTACGCCGGGTATAAAGTGATACCTTTAAAAATAAGCGATGATCATAAAAAAAATTAGACTTCTATGTATTTCGAAATATTATTTATTTAAAAGTATAATGACATACCTCGTGAACTCTAAGAATTGTAGTTCTAGAAGTGTATACTATTTTCAAAAGCTTGAGATAATATCGCGAATACATACTAAATTACTTTAAAACATAAGAGTATTGCACATGTACATTTCAAGTTTCTTCGTAAAAAGTGGGTGCGCGAATGTACCTAAGAATTAAAAAATGCAATTTTAAAGTATAAAGTATGTGTTTTAAATGCTGGAAATACGGTATTCCTTCTTCCTAGTAAATATATCTGAAAAATTCCTGAAACCGGGAGAAATTTAAATAACATTTTCTCATTATTAAAATATCATTATTATTCGAAAGCAATCTTATTACCTGATATACTAATCAATATACAGGAAATTTTCCCTCAAAAAATCGATTTCCTATCATTAAATACGCAGTGACCGAAGTTCTCAACTAAAATTTTTATTAAGAACTTTTCTGAGGGGGAAAAATTTAAAGCTATGTACGTATTCCTTTTTTTTAAGGTTGTCTTCGGTAAAAGAAAGAGCTTGAACTAAACGCGAAGCACATTTTCAGACAGAAAAAATGCCTCAATTTCCAT